TATCCGTTCTTGATTTAATTTTGGTAAGTGATATATCTATATAGACAATTGTCCATTTCTTTAAATTTTCCAGTTTTGTGGAGTACTGGTTTTCAATCTGTGGATTTCCCCAAATCTGCTGTTATAACCCCCCTTTCATTTCTAATTTTGTTAATTTGTATGTTCTCTCTCTGCCTTTTGGTGAAGGTGGAAGAAGCTACCAGAAAATGGAAAGATTTCCCATGCACTTGGATAGGTAGAATCAACATAGTAAAAATGGCAATATTACCAAAAGCAATCTACAGATTCAGTGCAATCCCTATAACAATCCCAGCACAATTCTTCACAGAATTTGAAAGGACAATTGTCAACATTATATGGAAAAACCAAAGATCCACGATAGCCAAAACATACCTGTACAATAAAGGAACTTCAGAGGCAAAACCATCCCTGACTTCAAGCTTTACTATAGAGCTATAGTAATGAAAACAGCTTGACATTGCCACAAAAATAGGCACATAGACCAATGGAATCGAATTTAAGACACTGATATTAAGCCACACACCTATGAACACCTGATCTCTGACAAAGAAACTAAAACTCTACAATGGAAAAAGGAAAGCATCTTCAACAAATTTTGCTGGTTTTAACTGGACGATGGCATGTAGAAGACTGCAGATGGATCCGTATCTATCTCTATGCACAAATCTTAAGTCCAAATGGATCAAACACTCAACATAAATCCAGACACACTGAAACTCTTAGAAGAGAAACTGGGAATTACCCTTGAACAAATTGGTACAGGAGACCTCTTCCTGAATATAAAACAAGTATCACAGTCACTGACATTGTCAATTCGTAAATGGGATTTCCTGAAACTGAGAATCTTTGGTCAGGCAAATACACAGTCCACAAGACAAAACTGCAGCCCAGAATGGGAAAAGTTACTCACCAACCCCACATCTGACAGAGGGCTGATATCCAAAATATACAAAGAACTCAAGAAGCTAGTCTCCTAAACACTAAATAATCCAATTAAATAGTGGTGTACAGAACTAAATAGAGAATTCTCAATAGAGGAATCTTAAATGGCTGAAAGACACTTAAGAAAGTGCTCAACATTATTAGCCATCAGGGAAATGCAAGTCAAGACAACTCTGAGATACCATCTCACTCCTGTCAGAATAGCTAACATCGAAAACACAAATGACACATTATGCTGGAGAGGATGTGGAGAAAGGGGGTGCCAACTTGTACAGCCACTTTGGAAATCAGTATGGAGATTCCTAAGGAAACTTGGAATCAGTCTACCACAAGATCCAGGAATTCTATCCTTAGGCATATACCCAAAGATGCACATTGATACAATAAGGACATCTGTTCAACTATGTACCTAGCAGCATTTTTTGTAATAGCCAGAAAGTGGAAGCAACCTAGATACCCCTCAACTGAAGAGTTGTTAGAGAAAATGTGGTACATTTACAAAATGGAGTACTGCTGAGTGGAAAAAACAATGGAATCTTGAAATTCGAAGGCAAATAGATGGCACTAGAAGAAACCATCCTGAGTGAGGTAAACCAGTCACAAAATGACAAACATGGTATGTATTCACTCATTTTAGACATGGATCAGGGTATTGCCAGCCTAGAACCCACATGTCCAGAGAGTGTAGGAAACAGGGAGGACCAAAGAGAGACATGCATGCTACCCTGGAGAAGGGAAATGGGAAAGGATCTCCTAAGCGGATTGGGAGCATGGTGTGAAGGAGAGAGGGAGCTGAGAGAAAGAGGGGGGAGAAGAAGAGGGGAGAGGAGTACATGGGGGACCAGGAGGGTTGAGTTGGGGGAAGAATAGAGGAGAGCAGGATTACAGGTACCATAACAGATTGAGCCATCATTTGTTTGAGGAGAGATCTGGCACTAGGGATATTTCCAAAGTATCCATCTACAAGGATGACACTAACTTGCAATCTAAGCAATAGTGGAGAGGCTACCTTAAATGCCCTTCCCCAATAATGAGATTGATGACTACCTTATATGTCATCCTAGAGTCTTCATCCTGTGGCTGATGGAAGCAGAGGCAGACACCCACAGCTAAACACTGAGCTGAACTCCTGGAACACTGTTGCAGAGTAAAAGGAGCAATGAGCAAAGGGGTAAAGACCGGGCTGATGAAACCCACAGAAATATCTTAACTGAAAAAGGGTGAGCTCACAGACCCCAGACTGATAGGTAGGAAATGAGCAGACTCCTGAACTTGGGTTTTGGTGAGGAGGCCTGGATAATCTATGGGGCCGTGGCCAGTAGATCAGTATGTATCCGTGGCACATGAATGGAGTTTTGGAGCCCGAGCCACATGGAGGGATGCTCTCTCAGCCCAGACACCTGGGAGAGGGCCTAGGACCTAGGCTTTGCCTGTATTGCAATGACAGGCTTTTGGAGATCCCCCATGGAGGGCCTCTCCCTCCCTGGGGAGCAGAGGGAGGATAAGGAAGGGGATTGGAGGAGAGGGTGGGTGGCAGGGCAGGAGGTGAGGTTGAGGGAGCTGGGATTGATGTATGAAGCAAGCTTGTTACTAATTTGCATGAAAAATAAATTTTAAAAAGACTCAATGGAAAATTGATGACAATGAAAAATGTAGATTAATTTACGGTCTTTTCTGTATATTGGCATTTTGCCTGCATGCATACATGTACTGCCTTTGTTTTCCTAGTGCTGGAAGAGTTCAAAAGAGGGTATCAGATCCCCAAGAACTGATCTTCCATTAGGGTACTGAGAACTGACCAAGGCCCTTCTGCAAGAACCAGGTTCCTAAGAGCTGAGTCATCTCTCCACCCTGTGGAAGACATTGTTAATGCCGTTAGAGCACATGTTCTTGCAGAACACCCAGGTTTGGTTCCCAGCATTCACCAACAGCCTCACAACCATGTATAACTCCAGTTCAAGGAACCTGTTGCCATTCCTGCCATTTGTGACTTCTTTGGATACCAGGTGCCCACATGGTACTCCTACAATTACGTCGGCAAAATACTACCACACATACAATAAGATAAGTTGTCCAAATAGGAAAACAAAGAAAGCAAAAACTGAAAATCCAGAGGACAGATAAGCTGCCATTCTCTGCAGCTGTCCAAAGGAAAACTATGTAGCAGACAAAGAGGAAAAGGTGTACCATCTGCAATAAGCCTGCAGGGAACACACACACACACACACACACACACACAGAGTTCATAAGCAGCCACACAGTAGGGAGGAAGGGAGCTTCAGAGAAAGATTGAAGCCCAAACTGTAGGGGAAGCAAGAAGAGCTCCTGAAACCACACCAGGAAGAGGGAAAAAAAGTGGGCAGATTGAAGAGGCTGCAAGATTACAGTTCTGAAGGACACTGCTGCAGGATCAGGACTTATGGGAAGGGAAGACATATTGCCTCAAGAAAGAATCAGTACAGTCCCCTTTATCTTTTAGTATGGCTTAGGGGTAAGGATTCCTGTTTCTGAGAAGGGCTCCTATAGCCTGCTGGTTTGCTGACCCAAGTAGATTAAATCTTAACCAGGGAGAGAGTGTCTTGTCTCCCATTGGATGGAATTTTCATTCTTTTGGATGGGAGGCAAAAACATTCCATTAAAGAGGCTTCAAGACTACTGTAAAGGAACCAGACAAAGACTTATGTGTGGGGAGGGTGAGGGTACAAGACATGAACACAAAGAGAGGCTCCTTGTTTACAAGTTGATAAAGGCTGGGGGTCAGACAATATTTGTGATTGTAAGAGATACAACCTGGAAAGCTTTGTGTTGGAGATATTTTTGGAAGACCTAAGATCAGTCATGGAGTCATGCAACAGGAATTTCTTTAGTAGATTAAACTGGGAACAAGGCATGTCACAGATTAGGAGGCATATTCAGATGTATTTAAAGGCAAGTTAGGTAGAGAAGTCAGAACCTCCCAGTTACACTTGCCTGACCTCCACACCCCACCAGAATACCCAGCCTCCCCTCACTGACCCTTCTCTGCCCTGCTTCAGGGTCCTCATCTCAGACTCAGGCATAGAGAATCCAAGAAAGAGAGGGAGTGGAAAACTCTTCTGCCATTCCCCCCCCCCAAAACATTGTAATCTCCAAGGGGAGGTCTTGAGCTGCTACCAGAACTGGGAAAATCACAGACTCCAAGGGAGCATTTGGAATTGGAGGCCCAGCCTTGAAAAGAAATGGTGGCTAAGGAGCAAGGAGAGGTGTTGCCGGAAAAGATGGAGAACAGGTCCTGGATTCAGGCCAGGTTCCCAGTCACAGATTTCCACTGAGTGCACAGCCCCTGCCTGTGTGTGCAGTCTGCCTATTTGAAGCTGCTGTTCCCAGCTCCTCTGGACTCTCGAAAAGGAGGAGGACCCAGGCTGGAATTCTTGCAGTTCAGTGCACAGAGGCAGTACTGGATACATATGATTTAAAAAGGCACACATTTGCCTTTTCTCTTCATATTCCTCAGTTCTGTGTGATGATAGTTCAGGAAAGAAATATAATGGGATGGGATATGATGTGGTCCTCTTTAGACATAGAGAAAATGTGTTGGAGACACTGTTCTTTTTCTCTTTTTTAAAAATTTTAATTTAAATTAGGAACAAGCTTGCTTCACATGTCAATACCTTCTCCCTGCCCTCACTAAACAGTTCCCCCAACCCCCCACTTAGCACCTACCCCATCCACCCTACACTCCTAGGGAGGGTAGGGCTCTCGACGAGGCTCTCCAAATTTCACCACATCAAGAAGGGTTGAAGAGAAGGGAATGTCTTCACGTTAATATCAGAAACAGTTAGACATGCAGGCACTCACCAGATCAGAGTACCTTCAATATAATACCTACTAGGGAGTCCTGGGACAGCTGATGCAATATAATTACTCCAAAGTGCCTTGCTCCTTCCATCCATCTGAGATGACAAGGCATTGATGCCTCAAAGGTTTGCTGATGAACAAAAGACTGGATAATGTGATCGCCCTTAATGGATAAGGATGCAGGAAGACAAGTGACTTACCCATAATGTCACCATGTTCCAGTCACCCTTTCTGTCTGACAGATGTCACATCACAATGTATTCTTCTCTACCAGCTCCAGCTTCTGGGATGCAGAGATTAAATCCTTTGCTTTTATACTGGAAGGCAGCATGAGAGGAAATATTACACATTAAACAGCGGAAACCAGGATGAGCCAGCACATAAAAGCCATGATATGGAATGGTGGTGGCTTGCCTGTGCAGACTCCATCAGTGGAAGTTATGCAATGATGGTCTTCCTCTTCCCAGTTCATCACATTCCCCTGAACACACACAGTGAGACCTGTGAATGCACAGACATAATGGAAATGTGAGATTGTTCACTTCCCATTACCTCGAAAAGTATCCTATCCTTCTTTTCATGTGCTCATGTCCATTCTGTCCTGCCAGAGCCATCACACTGACAGCATGAAAGAGGCAAGGGGAGTGTGCCAAACAAGACACACGAAACACTAGTTTTTTTTTATGCCTCTTTAAGTCTTGAACATGATCCTTGGATGTGAGTATCATTACCTCCTTTATATACACGGGGTCAGTGAGTGCAATGTTTAGACTCAGCAAAGACTCTAGAGGCACCAGATGAACACTGATGCCACTGTAAATGGATTCCTCTGGCCAATACTGGGACAAATTGGTCTTCAATAAAGAGAAGGGCAGTATGAGAGGATAATAGTAATGTGTATTCTGAGTCATACTGATACAAATCAATATAGAAGTATATAAGTATGGAAATAAGTAATTGATATATAAACACCAGATCATCACTTAAGAAACACTAGTAGAATTATACCACTTAAAATCTCTCATAGTAGCCGGGCGGTGGTGGCGCACACCTTTAATCCTAGTACTCAGGAGGCAGAGGCAGGTGGATCTCTGTGAATTCGAGTCCAGCCTAGTCTACAAGCGCTAGTTCCAGGACAGCCTCCAAAGCCACAGGGAAACCCTGTCTTGAAAAACCAAAAAAAAAAATCTCTCATAGCAATAAGTTATTTAACTTACTCTCAGGAATATAATATTATTCTCTTCCATTCTCATATAAGTCATTATGTCTCTGTGGTAGAGATGCTGGCAAAGGAAAGCAATGTTGAAAATAGGGCAACAACAAACTTGTTCCTCATATGTGCATGAATCTATGTATGACTTGGACACATCATTTAAGCCTCAATATGACAAAAGTTGAATTTGCCTGGAAACTTCAGAGACACGTTTGCCCACACACAAGCATATAGGGAATACACACTTACAGATGTAAATTAAAAAAGCACACAGCTCTCCCCTCAAATGATGAAGAGAGAATTTATTCTAGGGTTAAATATGACTGAGAAAATGAGAGTGAGACTGATTAAGATAGTAAAATTTCCATGTTATAATGTGGGAACACTTACAGAACCTTTTTATAATAACAGAACAAAGACCACTATGAATCCAGTCACTCCTTACATACATATTATTTAGCATGTCACGTAAAGCAGAGAAACCTCAGCACAGGTGTTAGCTGCTGTGTGATGACATTCAGTCCTTTGACTGGTAGACTAATAAGACTTTGTTTTAAGGTATTATTTTCTGATTTTTAAAAAGCAATCTTTAAGGATGTCAGGTCCAACATCAAGTGCCAGTGACAAGAAATGAGGTAATTCCAATACAGAGGGACCAAGGAGTGTCTACTCATGAGCTAAGGTGAGCACACACTGTAATTAGCCTCTGGGCTCCAATATTCATTCCTCTCCACATCACTCAAGTACTATCCAACAACCCATCAGTCTCTGCAATCCCAACATCTGTCTAGGAATTCCTGTTCCACAGACACAACACCTCTTCCTCTCACTATCCTAGCTCCCTGATAACCATTACAGTATTAACAGAGAGGTCAAGAGGTAAAATCACATCTTGCAACAGATTCATCTCTAACCACACTGAATGTGTGCTGAAATTTAGATGCTGAAAGCTACTAAATATATTATATCAGTGTGGCTCCAGTGTGGATGGCCCATAGACTTGTCTCTGGGGCATTCCTCTCAATTGACTGTCAATGACCTCTGCACACTGATAGGGAAATGTGGGCAAACTGCATCCAGCATCAAATAAGGTCTCTATTCATGCAGTAATCCATGCTTTCAAACAAAAACATCTTTCATGAGTACATTTGGTTCCTGACAGTTCAAAGAAAATTTAATAGCTAGTTCCCAGAAAATATAATTAGGAATTGATTTTTAAAAATAATACCAGGTATAGGTGAATCAAAACAGTGTAAAAACTTAACAATTATTCCTGCCATATAAATCTGTAATACCTAGAGATTGAAACACATCAAATACATTGCTGAATTGAACACAATCTGCAAAAATGAAGGGCATATTATGTTCGTGTACCAAACATCTAATTATTGGTAAGATGTTTATTGATTCAAAACTGATCTATAGAAACAATGGAAAACAATAAGATTACCCTATTTGAATTGGGTGGGAAATTCTAAGCTTTGTAGATCAATGCATTAAATTAGGAATCTTAGAAACATAAAGACAGAGAAGAGCATTGCCTGATAAGAGATCTGCATATGAAACTACATTAAGTGGGCCATCCTGCTATAGGAATCCAAGCAGGGAAGTAAAGACACAAATCAACACTGCATGATTACACCCACACATTTACAGACCACTGCCTCTGTTGAGCCAACATCTTTCTATGTATTCCATGCTGCCATCAAACTTGTGTGTAGTCTAGGCTGAGAAGGACTGACAATAGTTCCCCTGCTGCCTCTTAGGCACTGGTTTTGTTGATATATGTACTATCCCTGGATTGCTGGAGAACTGATAGTTGACAAATATGCAAAGCAATTTGGTGTAGAAAGGATGTTCTTTAAGCAAAGAATGCTGGGGCAAGTGTATATCCATATCCCACAAATATAAATTTAGGACCTACATCATATCATGTGCAAACACAATCCAAAACTGACAAAAAATACCCAGAAGGCATGGAGCTGGATTCCCAGGCAGCTGTGAATGCCCTGACATGCTAGATATGAAGGAAACTTGTGGCCTCTGTAAGAACGGTTATTCTCTTAACTGCTCAGCCATCTTTCCAGCCTTGAGTAAAAGAATTTTAAAGTGGGAATTTTATGTTGATGAACTCAACAAAATCTATCCTATTACATGCAAGTTTAGGCCTAGGGGAATTAAGATTTCTTTACATTGTCATGTGAATTTTAAGAAAGAGTTTGGACATAATTAGATCCTTCAAATCACATTTTTGTTTCCCCTCTGGAACTTTAGTCTAAATTACTAGATAAATAATGAATGATCTCAAATGAATACTTCTATGTAAGTAAAATAAGAAGAAAAATGTGTTTATCGTCAATTGCTTCAGAGATTATTAGGGGGGAAAATAGTTTTTTAAATCATGGAGAGTTACAAATTACAGAATGAGTGCTTGCCTTTCTTTTTTCAAGTGTATTTCTTTTTTCTTTTTTTGGTTTTTTTGAGACAGGGTCTCTCTGTGTAGCTTTGGAACCTATCATGGCACTCGCTCTGGAGACAAGGCTGGCCTCGAATTCACAGAGATCTGCCTGCCTCTGCCTCTGGAGTGCTGCTATTAAAGGCTTGCACAACAAATACCCTGCATATATTCTTTTTATTAGGAAGAAAATTATTTTACATGTCAATCCCAGGTCCCTCCCATCCCTTCCTCCCCCGCCCCTCAAGTAACAGCCTATCTATCCCATAACATTTCTGCTCTCCAGGGAGGGTGAGGCCTTTCATAGGGGGGTGTTCAAAATCTGTCATATTCTTTGGCCTAGGAAAACCCCCTGGTGTCTAGGCTCAGGGAGTATCCCTCCATGTGGGATGGGCTCCCAAAGTCCATTCCTAGGCTAGTGATAATTACTGATCCCCTACAAGAGGCCACACATATTTCCAAGGTGTCCTCATTGACACCCACATTCAGTGTGTCTGGATCAGTCCCAACTGGTTTCCCAGCTATCAGTCTGGGGATCAAGAGCTCTCCCTTCTACAGTACAGAGTTTTCTTTGTGTATCTCCACCCTGGTATGGACCACTTTGCTCATCAGTCCTCCTTCTCTGTGATTGGATTTCAGGTCAGTTCAAGGTTTAGCTGTGGGTGTCTTCTTCTACTTCCACCAGCTGCTGGATGAAGGCTATACTATGGTGTATGAATCAGTCATCAATCTCATTATCAAGAGAGGGCATTTAAGGTAGCCTCTTCTCTGTTGCTTAGACTGTTAGTTGGTGTCATCTTTGTAGCTCTGCAGACATTTCCCTAGTGCCTGATTTCTCTTTAAACCTATAATGTCTCCCTCTATTATATTATCTCTTATGTTGCTCTCTTCTGTTCTTTGCCCAACTCAACCTCCCTGCCACATCATGTCTTCCTCACCCCTGTTCTTCTCCCCTTCTCATTCTCCTAGTTCCCTCTCCCCTCCCCCGATACTCCCAATTTGATCAGGAGTTCTTGTCCCTTTCCCCTTCTCCAGAGGACCATATATGTGTCTCTTAGGGTCCTCCTTGTTGACCAGCCTCTCCTGAAGCATAGACTGAAGGCTGGCAATCCTTTACTCTATGTCTAAAACCCACGTAAGAGTGAGTACATATCATGCCTGTCTTTTTGTGACTGGGTTACCTCGCTAAGAATGGTTTCTTCTGTTTCCATCCATTTGCCTACTACTTGGCTTTCTAGGGTGATGCTGTCATAAAAGGTAACATGCGGATTTTGAAACTAAACAGACATATGTAAGGCTTACCTCTCCAACACAGTAAGAATATAAACTTAAGCCTGTAAATGTCAAAGACAACACAAAGAAGAAAATCCATGTCACTGTGCCTAGGTGAAGATTTCCCCGAAAAAAACATCTAATAAAACCATAACTGGCACAGGGAAATCTCCTGGAATCCAAAAGAAATGCCCCAACTATGAATCTAAGCAAGCAGAGCATTGGTATCACAGGCCTTGGTCCTAGCACTCTGGAGCCAGAGGATGGCTGATCTCTGTTAGTTCGAGGCCAAAGAGCTAAGCACTGAGCTGAACTCCTGGATTCCAGTTGTTAAGAGCAATCAGCAGCAATAATATGGCTGTCCTTAGCAAGTCAGAGCTCGAGGACCCCAGACAGACACCTGGGGAGCCAGGATCAGACTGACCCAGGCCTCCTGAACGTGGCTGTGGTGGGGGCTCGACCAATATTTTGGGTCCTCAGGCAGTACAACCCGTATTTTTTCCTATGGAGTCAGGAAACTCGCTCAGTCTAGACACACGGGGGAGGGACTACGGACTAGGTCCTGACCCTAATGATGTGACAGACGTTGATGATGATCCATTATGGGTAGCCTAACCCTCTCTGAGGTGATTCTTGTGTACTCGTAGGGGTGTAAGATGGGAGAAGAGAGTAGTGCAATTGGTATGTAATATAAGATTATTTTAATTGAAATAAAAATTAATTTAAAAATGAAACCATTACTGAATGACCTGGGGAGGAGGAATACTTAAAATTTAAAATAGCCTGTTCTTCTAAATGCATGGATGAGAATTGAAAAGATATAAGTCTATGAGGACGAAAGTTAGACAAAAATATACCATAAATAATTCCCATGAAACACAGTTAAACCTCAAAACGTCAGTCAAAAACAGAAATTGAGAAATGCGAAAGATGTAGGTGAGCAGTTCAAGGGGACATTGATAGGTTTGGTTATATTTATAAGACATTCAATACAAATTTTAATGCCATATGCAGAGAGTGTCAGGACAGGGATTCTGAGGCGAGATCAGGGTCACCGGGGAGGGTGGGACCCACAAAAAAGGAAATTAAAATCAAAAACTGGTGACAAGCACACAGTGTCCTACACCTGTAATCCCTTCATAGGGCAACTGAGTCAGGAGATTCATTGAGAGTTCCCTGACAGCGTAGGACACAATGAAACGTTGTCTCAAAACCAAACTACCTCACAAACTACTAAGGAGGAGCAATAATCCTCTAACCAACTGCATATTACAGAGTCATCTCAGGGTAATCACTGATTAGTCTTTAGACTTTCCTGCTTTATGTCCCTCAGATCCTGTGCGGGAGCAATCTGATCCCTTTTCAGGGAGCAGCAAGCTGGGATCAGAGAGAGCTCACTCTACTGTCTATAACTCTGGTGCTCCCTCCCCCAGAACACTCCTCCTATGGCTCCAGCACAGCCAGGTCCAGACAGCACAGCACATGCAGGAGGCAGAATGGTCCCCACTCTCTCTCCTGCAGACACCTGGTCGCAAATCTAGAAGGGAGAGTCGTCACAGTAAAAGAGGAACATCTTAGTCAGGTGACAGATGAGCAATTTCATCCACTAATTAGCTATGGAAACTTGACCTCACAACAGGAAGTTAAAGTCTCACAAAATTTGTACGAATGGTTCCTGAAAGGGAACAGTTAAAAAGAGAATAGATCCTGAAAGCAAACAGTTAAAAAGTGATGGAGACGCCGGGAGTCGAACCCGGGACCTCCTGCGTGCAAAGCAGGAACTCTACCACTGAGCTACATCCCCCACATGGCTCAAAAGGGGGATGAGACCGTATATGAGGGTACAGAGACTGATCCAGCATTTGTATGGCCTGAAAGGAACTGCATCAGGTCTTTTAAGTATATTTCATGTCTTCCCATTGAGTGTTTTAATAAAAATTTTATGGCATTTCTAGGAAGAGAAAACAATCTATTGTCATTTAAATAATAATAATAATAATCATCATAATCATAATAAACTTTTTATTCTTCAAAACAAGGCAGGCTAACAATGAATAATACTTGCAATTACTCAGGCCGATCCACTTGAATTCAAATAAAGTTGTGGTATATGTTCAATTTGACAGTATCTAATGGCCTCAGTGAAAATGGCCTGGACACAGAGGGACAAAAGCAGGTCACCTATTACCAAGACTTCAATGAAGCGGTGACCTTCAGAAGCACCTCCTCATGCCTGTCGACCGTAGATGTCTACCTGGATGGACACCCTATCAACACTGTACAGGGCAATGGAGAGGTCATCTCTACCCCATGGCCAGCACACCATATACAGCTGCAGCAGCTGCGACTTCCATGATCCACACCAACGTGCAAACCATCGGGGTCACATCCATCTGCCCCTGGCTCTCATTCTGTCAGATGGAGATCCCCGCAGTGGTCTAGCTGAAGACTATGCTGTCACACTGCACGGCTGTCTTTAGATGGACAGAAGATACAGGAAATGTGCCATGGAGACAGCATCAGCATCACAACCTCCTGATACCATCTGTCCTCTTTCTATGTTTGCACCCCGTGACGGACTGTATTGAGAAGCTGACCCAGTGTCTGCACAGAATGTTCCAAAGAAGTAAGCTCACTTCCCAGAGGATGAGGATGAGGACCAGGAGGATGAAGACAGCTAGTCTCACTTCCCAGGGTCCAACCTGAGCCCTCAAGCCCTTGGGGGTCTTCCTTATCTTGCTCTCCCCGTGGTCTTCTGTCTCAGCTGGCCTTGTCTAACCCCATGGCTGTTCACGTATCTGTGTCCTGCCTGCCTCGTGGGAGAGCTTGGGACTGCCTTCTGAAGAACACATCAGTCTTTATTGTTTTTAAACATTTTGCATTTCTAGAGAATCAAAATAAGAAATGGGCTGGGTGTCCTACATTTCTCTCATAGGCCCCCTGATATCCCAGATCAGGAAATAACCATAAATCAGTCTGTTGATATTCTGAGGGGGTCAAAATTGATTGATGTACCACTTGATAAAGAAATAAATGTTTCAGTCAGAAATCATCCATTAGATGAACTGCTTTTCCTAAGAGCTGGTAGGTACCTTGTGCCCTGAGTCCCTTGGGTTCACCTGGCAGCTATGCTATGGGTTAGAAAGGCATGTGATGGGTAGGTGCCTCTGAGTCTGGCCCAAGGCCTCTGACTCCTTCAAGAGAAGACAGTGGCAACACCTTGCACAATCATCTGACAACATCACATTCCCCCTGTAGCAGGGAAGCAGCTCCTGAGACAATTTAAATCCTGTGTACACTCTTTAGAGGTTCTTTTAAGCTTTCTGAAGTCATTGTGTACATATTTGAGTGTACATGCTTTGTGCAGATTTAGAGGGCACTGCCATGTTTTCAGTGTTTACAATGTGTCCAGCCCAATGCACAGTCCAGGACAGGGCTCTGTGCTTCCAGTCATCCTTAAGCAGCAGCTAGAAATTAACTGAGGCCACCTCACTATTATCATCATGGTTTGCTCCTGTCCTTCTGCTTCCACTAGAGTCTTAGGCTTGCATACGAGAAGCGGCCATATAGATCCTTGTGTAAAGACATGTATGTAACATAAATAGCATACATGGTTGCTCCAAAGGATTGTGGATCCTTTGTGGACTCAGTGGTCAGCCAACTCACCTCATTTAGGTGTCTGCTTTCAGTTTTGTCTTCAGCTCTCATGGCAGGAGTAGGAAGGAAGGACTGCCCAGTCTTTGACTGGCTTCCAGGGTGAAGTCATAGTTCTGTCTCATGCTGCTCAAAAAGGATGGCCGGCAGCGCAAGGTGAGACCACGCTGAGCTTTCTTTTGCTGTTAAAGTCAGAACCTACTGGGCCCTTTTTGACTAAAGCAAGCCCCTATGGAGCGCTATGTGATCTAACTTTTGTGCTGTTTGCTGTGGTTTCTTGTCCCCATGAACTGTGCTGTACATATGGGATGTGATCACAGAGGCCTCTGCTGTGATCCAGAGGAGAGCATGATCTGGAGCAGGGTTCACAATCTAACAAGCAAGTGTTGACAAGTCTAGAAGCAAGCTGCTACAAGGCTGTTGTAAAACACATAGTGTTTTCATGTAAAGTCTTAATGTTTCATATTAATATCTTAAAATTTATTAGATCTTAATGAAATCCTCATTACTATTTTCAGATTGTTTCAATAAATAAACTTGTTCAAGACAAGAAAATAACACGATCTTGAGAGATAAGAGGAAAGCACAACAAAATAAATTAGAATATGACAAAACACAACTATCAAATAGAAGTTGGAAATGTAAACCAATAGGAGGAAAAGAGTCCACAAAAAAACCCAAAACTCAGAGACGCACTTATTCACAATATCAGCGGTTCCACAAAATACAAATAAAAAGTACTCCCAATATACTAAAGCCACAATACATACATAGAAGACCTGGTGCAGACTCATGCAAGCCCAGTGTTGGCTGCTTCAATCTCTGTGAGCTTTTCTCCTTTGATTTACAGTGACTACCACTCCACATGGAAATCAATCTACCTCTCCTTCCAGAGATACCAGTCTTGGGCATGTTCCACAAGGACGCTTCAGCTACCAAAATGACACTTTCTCAATCATGTTCATTCTTGTTGGACTCACAATACCCAGAAATTCGAAACTACCTAGATGTGCTTTGACTGAAGAATGGCTAAAGAAAACATATTGCACTTATACAACAATATATTACTCCACTATTTAAAAAATGACGCCATGAAATTTTCATGCAAATGGATGGGCAAAACAAAATCATCGTGAGTGTGGTTACACAGACTCAGAATGATCATTATGATATGAATATGCTTGTATGTGGATATTATAGGTTAAAACCAGGATACTTAACCCTCAGCCTCTACTCCCAGAGTGATTAGTTATAGCAGAATAGACTATGATTAAATAAGTGTCTCCCTGATAGCCAGAAATATTTGAGATTTTATGGGTGGACTGGAGGGGGCTAGAACAGCAGCATAGGGTTGGGATGCAGAGGGAAATGGGTTTGAGAGAGGGAATTCAGGGAGACAAAGGTATTATTGTGGGGCATTTGAGGGCTGGTATAGAAATCTGGTGCAGTGAAATTTTTGCTAAATATAGGAACACAATCCTGAGGATGTCTGCAAATAATGGGAGGAGACAGATTACCACTGTCAATCTCTTGTCATCAAACAAAACTTCCATTACCAGGACTGGTTTACATAAAATTGAAATGTTGGCCAAGGGGACCCATGGAAATACCCAAACACTTCAGACAGATGTCAAGATAATAGGTTGATCTGCATATACTGACAGCAAGGGCCCATAGCTGAGAGATACTCACACAACTCATTGGATGTGGACAGGTTAGGCTGGTGCCTACATACAACCATCATTAGTACATCACAGTGTCTTTAGTATAGGAAGGTACTGTTCAGGCTTCCAAAAGAGAAATACAACTCTCAACCATGCCAAAGTCCATTGATCTACTGCTTACAAAATATGCTAGGGCCATTGAAGCACAAAGCTTATGGGAATAACCACCCAATGTCTGGTTTGAGTTAAGACCACTCTAACACATGGAACCCCTACCTGATACTGCTTTCCTGACCACAAACCAGACACTAGAAAACCCTGAGACCTAGTGTTAAAGGAAACATTGCTGTTTTTCTCCAGTAGTGAAAAAATAAATCCTAATGGTGTTCTGGTATAGTCATCAGATTTCAGTCCTCCTCAGAGAAGTGTCATCCTGGAGCAACTAGAAACAATTACAGCAGCCACAGGGTAGATACGTGAGAGATAGAAACAGACAGAGAACCAAAAATAGAGAAACAGAGAGAGGGAGACAGTCAGACAGACAGACAGACAGACAGACAGACTTTGGAACACCAAGATCTTACAGGGATCTCTCTATGATGTTTCCATCAAAACACTTCTCTCAGTGATCATAGAATCCTAAAAGGCACAGGTAGAAAACTTGTAAGGACAATAGGAGATGGAGGCCACCAGGAAAACGAGGACTCTAGATTAACTGAAGAAAGCTTATATGCAGTCATAGCGACTGAAGCAGCAGGCACATAGCCTGCATGATGGCTCTACACCTGGTCCTCTGTGTCCATAGCAAAGCTTTCACCTTAGCATCTTCATGGAAATCCAGACTGTGTGAACCAGGGGTCTCTGATTCTATTGCCTTCTCTCCTGCTCTCCATTCATTCTGTTGGCTCCCTTGCCCACCCTGTATCCATTTTTTTTCTTAGTCCAATTAATTTTTCGATGTGTTGTTGCATCTGCTAGAAGCCTGTTCTTTTCTAATGAGAATCACAAATGGGGAGGGACTGGATGACATGGGAGTAGGAAGGAACTGGGGGTAGTAAAGATAGAGGAAACTGTAATCAGGATATATTGTACAGGAAAAGAAAGGATTTTCAATATGAGGGGTACAGAAGAAATGCCCTGAGGGTAGCTATTTTGTGTGACACTTCATTCACAACCATGTTGTGCAATTGTTCCTGCACAGGGATATGCCTCTCGAGACATAGTCCTCCCTTGTCTCCATACATTTCACTCAAAGCTAAATGCCTTCCTTAGAAGGGAAGCAATTGAGAAGCATAACTAAGATGGAGTAGATGGGACCACAATAGACATTACTCAGCATTTGGAAATAATGTATCTCCCTTCAGGAATTTGTGAATTGTAGTAGTGAGCTTATAAACCTACCATCAGTACATAGCATGGATGTATGATAGGACTGTGGAACACCGCTACAGAGAGATGCCCAAGATGCGCAATCCGTCTGTGGGAG